TATTAACAACTAACATATATTTATATAAACAATTTTCGGATCATTAACCAAAATACTCATGCTACTGCTACCGCGCAACACGCAGTTCCTACACTAGTTTACATAAAAACAATATAAAAAACAAAACAATCTCATAAAACAAAAGAAGATAACAAATAAAAAGTAAACAGATCAAAATGCCCCTAATTTAACTAATGATTAATTTTGGTTTGCAAGAATAGAATAGATTTGGAGATATTTGCATTTCAAATCCATTCCAATCTCATGTTTGGTTTGTAGGATTATTCGGATTTTGAAATCCCACGGGATGGTTTGGATTTCTCAGGATTCCGTAGGATTTCTATATAACAATGTTTTAAAATATATTTAAAATGTTTGTCTTCTAATGGTTCATTAATGGAAAAGTAATTTAATTAGTTTTATAATTATTAATAATTTGTTTTTATAAAATATGGAATTCCATTCCAAATCCATTAAACTAAACACATCAAAGATTTCAAATCATTCCAATTCCAAATCTTTATATGAAATCCAAATCACTCAAAACCATTCCATCAAACCAAACCCCCTCTAAGTTTTTTTTATCGACTTAAGGGCTGTTCGGTTCAATTTCTACTAAGACCTGTATGGATAAAGTTGTCTGTATGATAACATATAAGTTGTTGTTCGGTTGTTATATTGAATAAATGGTCTAAATGTTAAAAATGACCATTTTACCCCTAGGTTTTGAATTGATTTCAGTCTTGGATTTTAGGCTTGATTTAGGCTAAGATGACCAAGGGACATTTGAGTTTAGGCCATTGGAGATGGTGACAGGAGTCTGGCGTGAAATTGGTCGAGATGGAAATCGATTTTCTGGTTAACAAAGGTTAGAAAATCGATTTATGGTCCACAAAAATCAGAGAGAAATAAAAAAATCAAAGTAAAAAATAATAAATTACCCATCGATTGATCGATGTAGACGAAATCATAAATTACAAAAATCGATCAATCTAGGTTTAGAGAGAAAACAACATCGATCAATCAATTACCTAATTGAGGGGGGAGGCGTGTCCGATGAGAAGCAGTAGCGTAGATCGATCGTCTTCTGTAGAAATCGATAAGCATACTTGAGAAATCGATCAATTCTAGATTTAGGAGAAATCAATTAGCACACTTGAGTTGATCTTCGATTTTCAGAACGACGTGAAAGAGGCGATTTCAACGAGAGGCGTGAAAGAGAAAGCCGCATGTATTAGGGGTGAGGTTGAAGGGTAGTTAGCAAATTAATGAAAAATTAAATGGTTGAGTCTAAAGGAGTGTGTGTTACCAGCTGACTGATTAAATAATGGACTGACCAAATAAGCCACAACCGAACGACTAGTTATGACTGAACGAATAAACCATATAGGCTATACAACCCATTAAGTCACAACCAAACATCCTCTTAATTGGATTAAGAAATTTTTTTTTACAATCTCAAGTACCAAAACCTAAATATCTATACTATATTATAAAATATTTAACAAAAACTTTTAAAAACCATTTTTTATGCGTAAAGTACTGTTTATTAATGCATATTACTTAAAATTCAAGATTACAAGTAAACTGTGCGTAAGTACAACTTATTAAAGCTCCATAAACAACTCATTTTAAATATAAAAAATCTAAAATATAATTAGGATAATCATTGAGTTCTAACATAATACTTAATTATTATATTTATAAAATGTTATATTATTGAACAAAAAATAAATTATTTCGTTATTAAAATTAAATTAAATTATAATAAAAAATTAAAGAAATTACATAAAAAAATATAGAACTTTTAAATAGTTGATTTGATATTAATATTGATATGTTTTTTTTTTCAAATTTTTATGATATTTTCAAATTTATATTTTATTCAAAAATAAAATCATTATTGCTTTCTTAAAAATATATAAAATCATATTATAACACCGACATAGATAAATAATAAAGTAGAACATTAAAATCAAAATATATCTTGTTATATTGCGTGACTATCTTTCTGGTATATTAAAAAAAGGTAAGAAATATGAAAAAAATTCTAGAAAGAGCAAAGACTCGTGGAAAAAGCAAAACAAGCGATCACACATTATTGCAGCCAATGCATGTCGACATTCAACACAGGTCCTGCTTCTTCAACATTCCATTCTATTCCATTCCTTAAACGATCGATTCATCTATTAGGGTGCGTTTGGTATGCAGACTATATGGGACAGAATGAGACAAAAAAAATAGTCTCATGTTTGGCATGCGATGGACAAAAAAAACATGAGACAAGGTGAGACTATTTTTAATTTTAGTGGGACAAATCTTGATTTTTTTTGTTCCACAAAAAAAGTGGAACAACATGGAACTAAAATTAAAATGACAATATTTTGATTGATTTGTTGTCATTTTACAATTATTATATAATATAAAATAACATTGAACAATATTTAAGAATAATATAATCATTTTAATAGTTTTGTGTCGTCCTGTCTTAGTCTACCAAACATAGGACAGACAATTAGTCCTGTACCGTCCCGTCCAGTCTGCAAACCAAACACTACCTTAACACCTACTGATTAACGGAGAATTCTACAATAGTTGCTGAAACACGAAATCTCCGTAGTGGAAGAAGAGGATTTATCTTACAAGCAACGACGCAGTGTTGCGTCCTAGAGTTCATTTCAATCTGCAGGTACTGTTCATCTGAAGATCGCAAAGCTTTTTCATGCAATATTTCTTAGAAGCATAGTTTTTACTTGTCCGTAACTTTTGCATAATTGATGTATGTATTTCACGTTTCGGTATAATAAAGTCGTCTCGTTTCATATTTTCTTATGATCGTTGTTAGTCTACTGGATGAGTAGATGAATTGAAGCAATTTGAATCGCTAATTAGTGATTCAGGTTCGTGTATTGGTTCTGAGAGCACTTGTGAACTTTGGAATTGGTAAAAAAAAGTTAGTTCATTTGATAAATTGAATGTGCTTTGAGGTAATCGAGGTTGAATTCTGCCTTAAAAATTGAAAGCGCTGGTACCTTTTTTTAGGGTTTAACCTAGTACCGTCGTTCTTGTTTAAATGTAATAAATAACAATATTGGAAATTTGATTCTAACGGATTCCAGTGATACCAGATTTGGCAATTGAAAACTGTGATTCATTAGGAAAAAGGTAAAACCACAAGAGTATTTTCTTGTTGATTGTGCATCATAAAGGTATTCGTTGGTTTATGTACACCAGAGAACTGGTTTCTCCTGATACGATATACTGGTTTTATTTATAGATGAAGTCGAAGTGTGGGATTTCATCTCACTGTTTCTTCTCTGTGGCTGCCTTAACCGGCTGCATCTCTGTCATTGTCAATATGAGTTTAACTGACCCTCCTCTGGAGTCTGGTTAGTTTTTCTGTATCTATTTTCCTCCCTGCGCTATTCCCTCTTTATAGTTGATTGCATTTTCCTTTGCCTCTATTTGGTTCCAAGAGTGGATAGGTGGAAGAGACCGTAAAGAAGGAGCATTCTTTAATTTGTGGATGATTTCAACTTTTTGGAGATTTGCAAAACCAAAGTTTTACTTTGTAATTGTTAAAATTTTAGCCAATGGAGCGAAATTCCTACAGGGGTCAAGGGATGTCCATATTTTGTTATTGGCATCAAGTAAGGTATTCTTGTTAGGACGAGACTGTAATAGTATTGACTAGGTAAGCTGGGTTGATTAAAGGGTCCTGGGGCCTCCTAGTGTATACTTCTCCGGTTGGAACGTGTACCCCTCTCTAATTTGCAGCAGTTGCACCTCAATATGCTCATAAAAGCTAAATATGAGAGCAATGTAAGAAGATCGACCTTTTACCATGCTCTGTAATTTCTGACCTTTTTTCCTTCTCCCTTTTGCCTTATTTTTCTGTTATGATTATGTTATGCAATGACAATATTGATGGTCTTCCAGTCATAGGTGGTATAACTGCAAGCAGGGAATTTAAGTTTGGACCAACGTTTGTGGTGAAACCTAAAGGCAAACACCAGGCGACCATTGTCTGGTTGCATGGCCTTGGTGATGATGGCTCAAGGTACATCTGCATATCTCTTCTTTATTTGGTTGTCACTTTGTTATAACCTGATTTGAGTAATAGCTTATGTTGGTTAATACAATTAGATTTTTGAAATATTTCCATCCTCTTTGCTTGCTGTGTTCTTTCATAGATCACTTGGGGAAATAACTTGTAACAAAAAGAAGCACCTTAGTGCCAAATTGAGAACGTTTGCGTACTGCTAACATGATGCGTACATATTATATAGCTTATGATTTACAACCAAGGTGATTAACTTTTGAAGTATTGACTTCATATAATAATTATGCTTCGTCTTTCTTTCTTTCCTTCATTTATTTATTTTTATAATCAGCAAAATCCTGAAGATTGCTTGGGAATAGTGAACTTTGAAATTAAGTTAGAGCTTTCTTCTATGGCATTTATTTTGCCACAGTGTCAAAGATCTGTGTTTCCTTGACCTACATAGATCAAATGGCTTTGATATTACCATGAGTTTCTATTGTTTATTCGTGGATAGACGATGGGAGGTTTCGAACCATTATTTTGACCCTTATAATCAAGGAGAATTTTGATTTTTCACACTTACCTTAACTCTCCACCATTGTTTATGTTTGAGTCCCAAATTGGCTACACTTGAACCATTTCTTTTCATTATATATTGGAACCTCTATTCTTTCCTCAGGGGCTCTTTTGAAAAGCAATCTAATGGGGTTTCACATATCTTCACATGTATCAGATTCGATGTCTACCACTCTAGGACTCGACATATAGATCATCTAGCCTCCATTGGAGGGGACATGTTCTAGTCCAACATCAATTAGACTTGGACCATTTCTCCTCAATATATGTTGAAATCTCTCTTCTCTGCTTTTTTAAAGAGTAATCTAATGGGGCTCTACATATTTTCACAGTTTACTTGTAAGAGTTTAATCTTTTTGAGGTGTGTAGAAATTTTTGTTGGAACCGGTCCCACATGGAAGAAACAAAGAAGCACTTATTTGTTCATATATCACATCTCTTTTGCTTTACTCAATGGGCCACCACCAAAAATGGACTTGGCCTGCTCTCACTCAGTTCACCTCCCCTGTAGGTAAAGCGGAAGTGGGCCACCACCAAAAATGGACTTGGTAGGCTTTATATGTATATATGTATATGTATATATATACATACTAAATAGAAGGTCAAAAAACCGATGGACTTCCAAATATTGAGCGATCAAGTCCTTGGACATTTTTTGAACAAATAAATCTCTAAACTTTCTGAAACCAAAAAAATAAATAAATAAGTCCTTGTACTTATAAAACGACAAGAGTATACCTCTAAACTTTCTGAAACCAAAAAATAAATAAATAAGTCCTTATACTTATAAAACGATAAGAGTATACCATTTCTCTCAATGTATCAACGTATAAGGAGCAAAGTACAATGAACCAATAAAACAAAAAGGAGTATACCACTTTCATTAGCCATTATTTGTTTTTCAGATTCAAATGACAATCAAAGTAGAAACTACTATTATTTATTTTTTCAGATTCAAATCACGACCATACAAACACTCATGGTTGTTGTTTGAATATGACAATAAATAGTCGGTAGCTACTTTTGTGATTATCTTTTGAATATGAAAAATAAATAATTACTAATAGTAAATGGTATATTCATTTTGTTTATTGGTTCATTATACTTTGCTACTGATTTGTTGATACATCGAGAGAAAATGTCTATTTCTTTTCGGTTTTTTGGTTTCAGTAAGTTCAAGGATTTATTTGTTTGTTTTCAGTAAGTGCAAATATTTATTTATTCAACAAAAATGTCCACTTTTGTAATCACTCAAAATATGAAAGTCCGATGGGTTTTTTCGAAACTTTTATCCATACAAAAACAGTTAAAATACAGTTGAGAGGGTAAGGTAGATTATATGTGCATTTGGATGCTGAAAATTGGATAGAAAGTATCTCTGTTTTCTTTGTTTTCCATTTCTCGGTCCCATGGAAACATAACTCAATTCCCTAGATTCAAGTTCTAGTGCAAGAACTTGGATTTATAGTTGTATCCTCTTGACAGACGTGCAATTACTATTGCACCGAGTAGGGGCAAAATTCTGTCACACTGCTTAGCAGGCCTCTATCTGATCAAATTTCTGCTTCAAAGGCGTCAACACAAACTTTCAAGTTAGTATGTTCTTGTTTGATCAAGTGATATATATTGTTGTAATATATGTTCTGTTGAATACTACTTCCAGTTTAGTGTATATATACAGGACTTTCTGTTTGTTAACTCTAGTCCGAACAGTTTCAAACTGAACTGTCACTGGTAGCATTTTAAGAAACTATCTTTGTCATAAAGCTTTCATCAATTGCTAATGCAAGATTATAACCTCTAGTACTGTTTGCGAATCATTAGTGAATAGTAACTGAATTCCATGTTTATTTTTCATCTATGTTTTCTATGCAGCTGGTCCCAGCTCTTGGAAACCCTTCCGCTTCCAAATGTAAGCACAACTTTATTGCTTGTAAATTACTAGGCTATTATTTATGTGGCCGTCTAACAAGTTCATTATGTGTGACCCAAGTCCCATTTATATGGTACTACAGAAGATTAAGCTAGGACACACGAAATAAAGAATTGATGAAAATGGTATGTCTGAACTTAAGTTCTGTAGAGGAACACTTGATTTTTCCTACTTTAATACACTAACGAACGTAGTTGGCCTAAATGGGTGTTAATTTTTTAAAGATTAATTCAATATCATGTTTTAGATTAATACTACTATGCTGCAGATCAAATGGATATGCCCTACTTCTCCTGTTCAACCGTTAACTTTATTTGACGGACTTTCTACAACTACATGTATGTTGTAAACGCTTTACACATATTATTGTATTCTTCAATAGTACTTCGCCCATCCCAAATTAAATACAACGTTTTCTTTTTTGCTGAAGTCCCAATCCAAAGTTAGATCTTTGTCATTTAGTAATTAACAAGATTATATTGATGAATTTGATCTCAACTCCATTGAGCAATATGTCAGATATTTGACTAACAGTCAAATAAATCTATTAAACTATACATCATATTAAACGTTGTATATATTTTGAAACAAAGGGAGGATTATTTATTAATGGTGACATCCTCACAGCCTCGAAAGTGAGGATGTATGCAACTGCAAAGGTAAAACAAATCAAGTTATCTTTGTTTTTACAACGTTCTGAAGCTGTAGGTATCCTGTTTGCTCTAAGACAATACTTTCTATGCACATATTAATGAAGCAAAGCTTCAAGATTTAATATGCATTAAAATCACCAAAACTCATTGTCATGGATATTAGGGTTTGATATCATCGACAAGTCTGAAGATGCAAGTCAAGATGTAGAGGGAATGGATGCTTCAGCAGCACATATTTTAAGCTTGCTCTCCACTGAGCCTCCAGATGGTATCTAATTCTCTCTCTTGGCCTCTAGTTTTTGTTCTTTTTGGTAATTATGGGTGTTTGAACCAGCTTGCGCACACCTTAACTAATTCCATGGGGCCCTGAAGTTAGCACTCAGGACTTCGGTCACCTCTGGCGACCCTGAGGGGACTTGAACCAGTGACCTCTAGGGAGCAAACCCAAGGTTTTATTGGTTGAGTTAGCACTTGTCGCCATTCATGATTTTGTTTCGTTTCCATTCTCATGTCATCATCTTCTAATTCTGCAGTCAAACTTGGTGTAGGAGGCTTTAGTATGGGTGCAGCAACTGCGATATACTCTGCAAGTTGCTTTGCTCGTGGAAAATTGGGAAATGGCACTGGTTACTCTACCCATCTTGACGTGGTTGTTGGTCTTAGCGGCTGGCTTCCGTGTGCAAAGTTCAAGTTTTCACCGTCACTGCTTCTCTATCCTTGTTATTCTTTTGACATATGCCAAATTGTTTGCTAATTGCTTTTCTTTGCTAGGGATCTAAGCAACAAGGTTGGAGGCTATAAAGTTGAAGGTCATGCAGCATCCTTGCCCATTCTGCTCTGTCATGGCCGAGGTACGTGACCTTTCTGTTATTGCAATGTTTCGGAGAATTCTTTTACCATTTGTTAAATATTTAAATAACAAAAAAAGGGTCGAGTAGATCCAGGAAGGATGGTTAATTGCTACAGCAAATGGACTCAAAACATCCACAACGGTTTTTATTTGAGTTTTTCCCCCAAAAAATGGGACCCACAAGTTTTTTTATTTATTTTTAAATTAACCTGGATATCCAACCCGCTATGCGAGCCGACAAGCTTAGGTGGCCAAGCAAAACAATCTTGTTGAGAGCGTAGTTACAAGCAAAAAGTGGTTCCTGTTTCTATGAGGAGCTTTTTCACCATCTTAATTGGCCAATAAGTTCTTCAAAAGGCTTCATTGTGGAATGCATCTTAAAGATCTTATTGAAGCTGAAATTTTTCTTGTACAATATCATTCCAGGTGATGATGTGGTTCACTTTCGCTATGGTAAGAAGTCGGCAGAGAAACTAACTTCAGCTGGCTTTCGAAACTTGACTCTCAAGTCCTTCCACTCGTATGTGACTTCTCTTTACCTTTGAAGCTCGTCGATATTGATGACATTGAGCTTCCTCTGTCTCTAAAAGAAGAAGAAAATCAATTATGCTGCTTAAAACATAAGAAAAAGCTACCTTATATCTAAACTAATCACCAGAAGCGAGCGATGAATTACTTTAAAGAACTACAATATGGTAAATCTTATAGAAGTCGAGTCCTTAGGCAAAATTTGACAAATACGAATAGCTACAGGACAATCTTTGTTGATGGTGCAGGCTCGGTCATTACATAATCCCAGAAGAGATAGATGAGGTCTCCTCTTGGCTAATTTCAAACCTCGAGCTCGAGGGTGAGTCCTAGTTCGTCTCCTTCAGAAACAATCAAGACACACATGGATATCGATCGCTGCACCAACTACCAACTTAACCTATCTTCCACTGCTTGTCTTTGTATCAAGAACCAAGCCACGAATTGTAACATTTGCTTGTAATGTTTCATGGTTTTTCCCCAATTTATTTTTAGGTGGTGATGAGAATGGAGACCAACCAAACACTACATCGGTTTCTTGGTAAAGTAGTCCTGAGTTCTTTTCTGACCAAGTGGCCGTTTGATAGACAGGACAAGACAAAACATAACAAAAACTTGTCCATGGTTCTAACATAAATGCATTCTTTCTTTCTTATTTATTAAAATAAGTGGGAACAAAAATAAGGGGGATTGGACTGGAACTGGATTGGGTTAAAATCCTTTTTACATGGATGATAGTGATGGCCAAAAACCGGTCTCGGGCCGGGCCGGTCCCTACCGGGCAAGAAGAATCCCATAATCGGCGGTAACCGGTCCTTCTATAACCGGTCCCGGATCCGGTTGAAATACTCAAGACCGGTCAAGGCAACCTATAACCGGTTATGCCAACCCGGTCTCGGTCGAAATACTCCATTGGATGATAAGAATTTTTGTTACAAACAGTGCAGATGTACTTGCCAAAATACACATTAATTTACAGGTGTTGAACCCTATTTTTTTGTCATCTACTTCTACAACATAAAACCAGGAAAACATTTATTACAACGATTGTATCATACAACATATTCGCATGTACATTACGAAACATTACAACGAAAATGTGAAAAAAGGGACACCAACAATCAAAACTTGAGAAAGAAAGAAAGAACCGTGTTTGCGAGCATGTTCCATCGCAGTAATCATGTACAACCGTCGATTCTATTGAATGATGAGAACTACACCCGGTTTTGGCTCCTCCTTGCTCCGTGTGTGTATATATATTACCTTGGAATCTCTTTAATAAAAGCTACTTCAGCCGTGGGTGTCGGTGAAAGCAGGACTTTTTGGTCCATCACATCGCTTTCTGATCCTTCGTGACTGCTCACTGACGACCCAGAGTCGCTTCCATCGTCATCTGTAAGTTAATCAAATAGTAAACCACAAACGGCCTTTGAAAATAACAAAATGATGATATGGTCTTTGGGTCTAAAACATTTGAATACCAATAAGTAACAGCTATATCATTTGACCTCGAAAGTCAAACCAACGCAAACAAAATCCAGTAAATCCCACGCAGAAGTAGGGTTCGGGAATAGGATATATAGAAACATGCTTTAAAAACTCGAATGCGGACACACATAAAGCACATACCATATGTATGATACTCTGGCAGCTGTTTGACTGTAGTTGCTTCAAGGCTTTCAGGTAGCAGACAACTGAAGAGAGAACCTGAAACAGTCATCCAAAAACAGTAAGTTTTCAACCACAAGGGTGGTGCCTGATTGGTTTGAGTTTGGCTCCAAAGGTCAAAAGTACCAGGAGGTCCCAGGTTCAAATCCAAGAAGGAATAAAAATCCCCTTGTGGCCACGGAGATTCAAATGCGTTGACTCCGGGCTATCTGCAAAGCAGGTGGTTGCCCTGGGATTAGTCAGCTCGCATAGCGGGTTGGATATCCAGGTTAATAAAAAAAAACAGTAAGTTTTCAAGCTATTGCACCACTTTTCACAAGCATCAGATCCAAATTTCATCACGTAATGTCTTTACGAGTCTGTTGGTGGGGAAAAAACCCAATAAATCCCATGCAGAGGTAAGAGTTTGGGGGTAAGATGTAAGCAGACATTTCCTCTATCCTGAGGGTTCGAGAGGTTGTTTACGTGAAGAAAAGCTACAAGTGAGAGCATATGCAACCAAGCAACAAGTGACGCTGATTCACCAAGGCTCCCGGTCATCGTTACAAAGGTGTTCATGATAGTGATTTTGGTTGGATTTACTTCGAATAGTAACTCTTCCTCTAAATTATCATGACAAAAGGGTATTTTAGACATTAGAACAATATGCTTCTCAAGGTAGAAACTTTGATGCATTATATACGAGAATAACCTTCTGACAGATTTTTCTTAAATGCATGACCTTATAATAGATTTAAGAACGCTTCTACCTACCGGAAGAATCCCTCTTCCTAACACAAGAATGTCCCAAAATCTGTCAGAAGGTCATGCGTTTAAGACAAACGTCAGAAGGTTATTCTCCTTGATAACCCTGACATCGATGCATAAAAAGCGAATCCCGAATCAAATCATCATTCAGGATACAAAAGTGTCTTTAAAGCAAAAAAAGGATCCGAATTGAAGATTGTACGTACCTAGCTTCGCCAACCGATTCACCCACCCGGGGATCCTTTTGCCCGTTAGCCTCTGCGAGATATCATCCGTAAAATGGTTACAGTTCTTGGAAATGAGGTGATAGGTGTCCCCATGATAATCTGAAGCCATTGTCTCGATGAATTCCCTAAACTCTCCAGCTGTCATGCCTATATGCCCGAGCGAAATTGAGGTTCTGTAGATAAAACCCGGGCAACTCTTTGGTTCAACTTCAAACACTCCGCTAATTGGATAGTCGTGTGCCCCAAAGCCATATTCCATACCATACACTGCAACAAGCTTCCACTTGATCAGATATTTTCACTATCATCATCAACGTAAACACAAAAAACCAGAAATAGAAAGGAAAATGAACTTTAATACAGTGAGAATATGTGGAACCCCGTTAGATTGTACTCTAAAAGAGTCGTTCCGAAGAAAAAGGAAGGTCCTAATTTATATTGAAGAGAAATGGTCCAAGTTTAGCCAATGTGGTACTGTAGCATGCCCCCTTCAATGGATGCTAGAGAGGACACAAGTTGTCCCAGAGTGTCGAGAGGTGGCTAGAACGATGAGGGGGTTAAACGAGTAAGGATTTCCCCAGAGTGGCGAATCCTAGAGTGATAGACATTGGCTCTGGCACCGTGCGAGAATAGGTGGAACCCCATTGGATTACTCTCTAAAAGAGCCCTTGAGGAGAGAAAGAAGTATCTAACATATATTGAGGAGAAATGGTCCAAGTCTAGCCAATGTGGTACTGTAACATGCCCCCTTCAATGGAGGCTAGAGGGGACGGACATTGTCCTAGAGTGTCAAGAGGGGAATAGAAAGATGAGGGGGTTAAAAGAGTACAGATTGCCTTAAAGTGGCGAGTCCCAGAGTGATAGATCCTGGCTTTCATGCCGTGAGTATGTGGAACCGCATTAGATTACTCTGAGGAGAAACAAAGGAGTATAATCAATGAGATAGCTTCTAGAGCACAAGAAACCTCAGACATTCAAATCAAATTCCAATAAACCTCAACAAGGATCAGATAAACAATCAGAATTCAACAAAATCCCAAGCAACCAATGCAGTTTCTTTGGTTTTTTACACAAACACATAACATTTGGCACGAAAGATAGAACCCTAAATGGTGTGAATTCTACACATTGCTAAGCTACAACCACCTATATATGCATGTATGTATGTATGTATGTATGTATGTATGTATGTATGTATGTATGTATGTATGTATGTATGTATGTATGTATGTATAACCATGATCATCAAGTACTCAAGAACCCCAAATTGAAACACAAATCAATAAAAGAACCCATGATTTTCATCCAACATCAAAAGAATACCCAAATCTTGATACATATTATATAGTCAGAAATTAGATGAGATGATGAATTACCTTCAATACCCGTATGGAAAATACCAAATCCAAGCCAAATGCTGTAAGAATTGAAAGGGGTAAGGTCATATACATTCAAAAAAATCTCTTTATCTACACAGCTGTCGCTCGTTCCTACGGTTGCGCAATTCGACGATAAGCAACTATCCGAACCCATTTTCTATCTCGTTTATTGAACACGAAAAACGATTGTTTCTGAAGAAGAAGAAGATGAAGATACAGAAAAATGGGGCTCAAGAAAGAAAAAACCCCTTCAATGCAGGAATGAATTGTTCCTGGGTTGCATAAAAGTTGCCCCCAGAAACACAAACATGCCGATCAAAAGGGGTTCTCTCTTTCCGGCCAGAGAAGAGAAGAGAAAAAACTTGATTCTATGAATCGATTAATCAATGGGGAACCACCGAGTTATAGCTTCCTGAGCTAATTCGGTTTGTGTTGCGGCGACGCGAGCCATACGTATCAGGTTTTTTGATGTTTGATGGTTCAGATGATTAATACCGAAAACAAAACATGTGGTTATCGTCTTCATTTTCGATCCCATCCGTTTCTACCTCCATTTGGATGTTGGATTAAACCATGATCCGATTTCAAGAACTACGTGAATTATCTTCGTCATAAAACCCATTTTTAACGATGAAACATTCAGGGGGTGTTTGGATTATAAAAGCTGTTTTTTAACTTATTTCAGTCTGACATCGGTGATAAACTGTTTTTTGATATTTGGATAAGAAAAAAAAATGTGTTTATACCGGTGTCAAACCGGTAATTAGCTATTTTTGATAAGTTAATCATTACTTATGAAAAACTATTTATTACCAGTTTACAATTTTAACCTTGTTTTATTTAACTCCGGTTTGATACCACATAAATTAATAAACATTTTTACAAAAAAAAAAAAAAACATAAGTTGTTTTAAATAAGCAATCTCAAACACCCCCAACATTGATATAAGATAAGAATATGTTTAAGGAAATTTTTTTAATATTAATATATATATCTGTTGGTCGGTTTCTTCTCGTTTTATATAAAAGATCGAGGGCCTGTTTACTTGCGACTTAATTAGGTTTATTGGTCTATCTGGCTTATTTGTACAACTCATTTGATTTGTTTACTTACGGCTTATTTGCACAGAATATGACTTAATCGTACATATATAAATGGTATGTTGTCCCCATTCAACCACAAAAATGACACCCCCTACCCCTTATTTAAAGCACCGCTTCATTCCCATATGAGAAACCCCATCTTCGGCCTCTTTATGATTTTTTGTCTTGATGTTTAAATAATTAATATTGGGGGGTAAATCGGTCATTTACGTTATTTAGACTGTTGGTTCAGATAAAAAAAAGTAAACAACAACACTCATTTATCTAGACAGACAAATTTATCTATACAAGATTTAATAAAAAAATTGGTAAACAACTCAGAGTATTGTTTATATATCTTTTAAAAAATACAAGGGGTATATAATAAAAACACCAAAATTAAGTTAAAAATTAACAACTTTGACATCAAACTCGAACCTAGGATTTTTGTACAAAGGTAGAAGCATTAACCATCAAAGTCTTGTGCTTAAATTTCAGTTTCAAAAATTACATGGCAACACCCATAAGAAACTTACCTTTTTCCACTTATGACGGAACCATGGAGCTGTAGCCCGTGCCACCGTATCAATCAATGTAGGTCTGCCCTTGATTAATATCAAATGGATTTGTCAAAGTGACGTGAAAATGGCTGATGTGATACAGATTTAAGTAAGAAATTATAAGTTTGATACATCTAATAAATTATAAGTAACAGCTACGGTAAAACAATTAGATTACTTGCCCCATGCTCACATTATTCTCCTAACAATGCATACACATTAGATTAAAGTTCAACTATTTCTGCTCGATTCCATTGATCACTTCTGTATTAAGAATACGTTTGAGTTCATATTTGGGTATTGGGTAAAGTTCGACTATTTCTGCTTGGTTCGATCTCGTTTTATACGGTTGTTTCGAGATTGTGTGGGGAAGGAGAAGTAAGAGACCAAAGACAAAATTGGTTTCTAAGTCGATCTTGGATAGAGTCGAGGCCGAGAGAGTATAGACAATGGTCGATTGACAGTGAGTCAACCAATGGTTGATCCATCGATTGAGAGTGGCCGATGGTGAATGACTGAGGCGTAAATGGTCGATTGGGAGTGAATGAACCAATAGTCTGTTGAGTGTGGTCGTTTGAATTTCAAGGGAGATGGTGGTTTTTGACAACGAAAGAAATGCAACCACAAAAGCCATCAATTTCTTGTTGGGGGCAATAGAAAATATTGTTGAAAAGTGTTTAAAAAGGCGTGTCATGACGGATATGATGTAAAACATGTCTCTGTCGTAACGAAAAGACTTGTAATATTATTTGTAAGACGTGATTCATGTCATGGCACACCGTGACGCATGTCTTTTACATGATATTTTTTTTCTCAAAAAAATATTTTTTTAGTTATTTTTTTTTTTCGTTTTTCCATCTTTTGTGTTTTTACGCTATGAATTTTAGATTTTACACTTTAATAAATTATGCTAATCACATCATTCATGGTTTCACAAATTCATAAACATCACGGACTCACACGATTAAAACGAAGTACTAAAATTGCTTTTCTAAGTTCTATTTTTGAATATTTAATCAAAAACTATTTTTATAATTATAATCTATATGATTTTTCTTTTGTTAGTATGAATATGAATGTAAATTTATAATATCATTTTCGGATTAAATAATATATAGAACACACATACACATACACACACACACATATATATATATATATATATATATATATATATATATATATTACATCATGTTTTAAAAAACACCGTTTTCTCGTCATGACGTGTAAGGTTTGAAACTTGACTTCGCTGTCATGTCACGTCTCACGTCCATTTTAAACTTTTGATTTGACACATGTTTATATATTTATCCAATTTATTTAAAAATCTTAACAAATATCATACGTTTTAAATTATAAAATTGTCAGATTATAATTTTTTTTTAACATAAAGTTGTTATTTTTATTAAAAATGTATCAAATTGAATTTTAATATTCGTATAAAATATTTAATAAATGTTTATATTTAGAAACTAATTGCAATTACCTTCAAACCCCTTGTATGCTAAGGGTGAGTCTCATGCGTCAGTTTGTGGATCATGGCCTCACACACTAATCCCTACAGGTGTCTGTAGTAGGTTGGCGGCCCTACTTAAACGAATGATCATATCGGTCCCTAGGCCCCATTGCTGGAAAGGCTCGACTTCAAAACCGTACGTGGAGCTTCCACTTCATATGGCTCCTCTAGGGATGGAGGTAGGCCCAGCCCAGGCTTGTGCGGTTAAGGTTGTTGTAAACGAAAGGGACATCTGATAATTTTATCCTAGCTCACAGAGCGGCATACCGAAAAAAGGGAAAGAATTCATTGCACCCCCTAGGCACAAGTCATCCTCGTACCGGGCTTGGACCATGTCTCCCGAACAATCTCAGTACATATGGCGCAAGACGATTCCACATATCAAGGTAACTTTATCTTAACAATTCCAAATGGAATTGTTCAAATGTAGTTTGTCATGGTAGAAAAACTAAAAACAAACATACTATCTTTACGATTAATCTTCGGCCCATCATAAAGAAGAGATTTCATAAAACTCTGTATTGCACACTGAGCCCATCAACTGGCTTACAAGTGATTGTGATCAAGTCAATGTTCGTTGAAACCATTTCCGTGATAGCATCGGTTTGAAATTCTCATTCTTGAACTTCCATATAACCATTGTTCCTCAGTTGTGGAAAGCCTTTCGTTTGGGTATATTTGACGGGTTGCGGGTATAGGGACGAACCCAATTTCTTTTTCTTCAAATGGTGGCACCATTTGAGCATAAGAAACAAATATGAAGATATTTTTTTTTATTAAATCATCATTAGTCTTTTGATTAGTTCATTGTTTTTTTTATGTGTGAGGTCATGTGTTCAAGTCTTTTATTGCAATTTTTTTCTTTCTAGAAACATAATAAATCTGAAATTAAAAACTAAGAAATAAGAAAATGACACTAACAGAATTCAAACTTAGGTCCAGGGTGGAAGAAAAGCCTTACAAACCAACACTACCAATTGAAACTTGTGTCCTTATTGTAGTTTCAAAATATATACAGTGCCATACAAGAAACTGATACGGTGACATTTTTCGCGACCCTATAATTTTTTACACTATGACGGAGAAAATGATGAGGTGGCACGAGCCATCGTATGCTCTACATCTGGTCTATCCCTGTACGGGTGTTTTGACTAACCTTGCGTCTAATTATTGGTGTTTGAAGACCATCTAAGTAGATAAACCTAAAATCTGTCAAAATGACAATTGTTCAGATGGAAATCTTTATTCATCACACATATCAGTTCCTGAAATTTGGAGAGGTTGAGGTTTTCGAGTAATCAGTAGAGAAAGTAACATGCGTATATAGTTTGAGGGGACAATATTTGGGATCGAGTTTACAGACAATACTAAATCTTACATTTAGACTCGTTGCTATGTTGCGAAACAAACATGGTGCCCCTCACAGGGTTGTTCTCTCTTCAGTTCTTAGGAGTGTTTCTCATTGTTGGAGAGCCATCCATGCCCAGCTGGACTTTGTTTTATCCCACGCCTTGTGGTCTATCGGTAAAAGTAACATTTTTTTGGCATGATATGTGCTTGATTTCTCCTCTGCAGGTAGACAACCCTCCTCGGCCTCATAAGCATTACTGGTTGATTTTCAACATATGTTACAATTTTTTTAAAGAGGAAAACGTTTTGATAGCCATTTCTTATGTTATGTCAAAATAGTGCATCATAATTCAAAACTATAAATGATGTGTGCAACTTTTTTTTGATTAACCTGGATATCCAACTCGCTATGCGAGCCGACTAATCTCATGGCGACCACCTTCTTTGCAGATAGCTCGGAGTCACCGCATTTGAACCTCCGTAGCCACAAGGATGTGTGTAACTTTTAACACATGAGCGAGTCGATTTTGCAAATGGGCACCTAGAATGAACATCTAGAATGAGGTGGTTGCAAACAAACCTATGCTAGGTAAAATAATGGATTCCCGACTCTTTTCAAAATCTATGTTAACAACCTAATCAACATGTATCCGTTACCCAAAAATCTTAGGCCTCGTTTAGCTTAGGGCTAGATTGGATTTGGAATTGGATTCCATTTCAATCTGATGTTTAGTTTGCAAGATTTCTGGATTCGAAATCTTACAAACATAGGATTTTGAAATCCCCCGTAGCTGGTTGGTATTTCACGGGATTTTCGATAGAATTTGTATGTAATATGTTACAAACATTTGTTTCATAATCTATTAATAAAAGATATTTACTTATATTTATAATTTGTTTATGTAAATTATCTATAAAGAATGAAGTTCAATTCCATTCCAAATCCCTCAAAATCATTCCATCAAACCAGACGGACACTTGTCAATCCAAATAATAAATCTTGATACAAAACTCAGTACCAAGTCCAGGTATGGATCTGGATATCAAATCTGAATGCAAGTCTGGATACAAGTTTTGATACCAAATCCGAATATTACTCCAAATACAAATTCGTATAGCAAATTCAAATATTACTCCATAAACAAATTAGTATACCATATTTGAATTTTGACTGTTACCAATTCAGATACAACAATTCTAATGGTTCTAAGGCAGTCACTTCATCTAAGATTTGTTCTAAGTGTTAGATCAGATGTATTTATATTATTATCAAATCAAATAGTTGGGAACAAACATATACATTTGATTCTTTTGTTAGCAAACTCCTCTCTAGATACTTCAGATCTAGGTACCCAAAGGTACCTACAATATTACAGATAAAGAACCGTGTGGTTTTAATTAGCAGGGCGCCAGCGTACGTCGGAAACCTTAGCATTCCAATTCTCGTGCAATAGGATGTTAGAGCTTTTGAGACCTTGCCTAGTCCCCATGCAATAGCTTAGTCCCCTTGCAACCACAAGGACCTTCTCACCATCCTCGTCACAATTTTCCTGGATAGATATAGTGATGGCCAAACCGGCCCGGTTCAGGACCAATTATGGGACCACCGGTTACATCCGGTTATGGTTTTTGTCGGATTTGTGGGACCGGGACCGACCGGTTATGGCCTGGCCCAAAATATTCAAAAAAATGACCCTTTTTTTAAAATATAGTCGTTAACTAGCCATTTTGACCCTTTTTTTGTATTCTTTGGCTTCTAAACACTATAAATACATAACAAGATTGAGAGGTATACATACCAAGTTCTCGATTCGTAAAAAAACGCAAAAAACGTTCACAATTCGCGTAATAAAATGTATTTTTAAAGTATATTTGAGTGATTCATACGACAAACTTAATAATGTATTAAAAATATATATTATTAAAAAAATTAATTTTTTTTTTTTGGGTGGGACCGGTTGGGACAGGGACCACCGGCCCTTAACCGGTTATAAACTAACCTAACCGGTCTTCATCTATTCGACCGGGATCAGTTACGCCGGGACCGGTTATAGCCGGTTATGAGAAATCTTGGGACCGGCCCGAATACAACACTTGCTCCAATTATTTTCTCAAGATCAAAGCATGTTGCTTCCAATATATAACTGAATCATACATTCATACTTAACAATTGATTTTGTATTAAAGTAACAAACGTTATATATTATTTTTTATGGCACATTTTCCCTCGAGCAAAAAAAAAAACATAATATAATAGAAAAACATCATTTAATCAACCAGAAAACATTATATAGCATTAAATTATGTAAAATAATGATAGTAAAATGTTTATTCAGTTTATTTTTATGAAAAATGAAATATATAAAATACTAATAAAATATGTTATTCGGTTTAACCAAATTAGAAAATATTTAAACAGACCAAATAAATTATCCTTATTCAGTTCACCGAGCTGTTTATTTAACCCAAATCTTATGTGGCAAAACCGAACGTACCACATGTCTACGCAGTCATATATATATATATATATATGTGTGTGTGTGTGTGTATATATATTGCTTGTGTATCCGGTACCCATGCAATGCACCATGATGAAAGATTTATTATGAACTGAAAATGAAAGTTGAACGGCTAATACAATTCCTCAATAAAAAAGAAAAATCCAAAATTCATGGAGCATTTTGTCGTATTAGCATTCAACACTTATCTGGTATTGAAACACGATTGACAAATCCTAAACAACATATACTCGATGTTTATTTCATGACGTATACAAAGCTTTCAGGGGTACCTCAACTGGTAAGACGTTGGTTTACTCTTCAGAGGCCACCATTTCGAGTTCCGTCAAGGTCACTAAGGGTTTTACCAGACTGTTAACTTCATAGTCGCATGAGATTAGTCGAGGTGTGGGCAAATTGACGATGGGTTCGACAAAAACACAAACGCATCAGCCTGCAAGAATTTTATGCATCAAAATATGTAACATGTTCAATGTTCATAGCCCAGATTAAAAGAAAACAGATTTGTTTGACTTTCGAGGTCAAACGGGCTACAAATTCAAAATAATCTAGCTTCTATATATTAACACCGACGCTTCTTTAATTCTAATGTCTGTAACAAGGGTGATGCCTGATTGGTTTGAGCTTGGCTCCAAAGGTCAAAAGTACCAGGAGTTCCAAGGTTCAAATCCAAGGAGGAATAAATGTGGCCACGGAGGTTCAAATGCGGTGACTCCGGGCAATCTGCAAAGCAGGTGGTCGCCCTGGGATTAGTCGGCTCGCATAGCGGGTTGGATATCCAGGTTAATAAAAAAAAAACATAGTCCAGGTGAACAAAAAAGTCAAAGAGGTTCCAAAATTCTTTTCCTACATAAACATAGTCTCGTAGTTTAATTGCTACAATTACTTACGAAAGATTGGTGAGCTAGAGAAAATGTCAGCGTACATCTTACCCCCAGACCTTATTAAAACTATATATGTATTATAAACCAAATCAAACAAACCCAGTATATCTTACCTGAATGTATACAGACTATAGTGCACAAAAAAACGAACTTCAAACATAGGAACAATTTGAGGGGTAGGATGTATACAGACTTTAGTTCACAAAAAAACAAACTTCAAACATAGGAACAATTTGAGGGGTA